TGGGAACCCAAGTTCGGGTTCTGTAGCGGCAATTTTTTTTTTAAACTACTTTTAAATTCCCTATTTGTAACAACTTATTTCAGTGCTTATATGTAAGCGAATCAATTGTTTGTTTATTGTACACAAAGAAAATTAAAAAAAATTAAAATTGTCAAGAAAATTTATTTTTTTCAATATAATATTATGAAATATGTACTTTTTTATTACGTGTGGCACATAAATGTGCAAATGGAGCTAATATGTTTTGAATGCACGTAAGTACATTATAGCCACCTAAAAGTTTCCTTGGATTTTCTTAAGCACTTGAGAGACTTTTCGTTCGATTTTGTCATTCACTTAAGATTGCTTATTCACATTATAGTTGGGCCTTAAAATTTTACGAAACTTAACGAAACTCTCTTAAGTACATTATAGTTTGTCACATACGTTTTATATGTGTTCGCATGGTTGCTTATGCTGACTTCAGTTTATGTAAGCATATTATAGTTAGGCCTTTAGGCCTTTATGTACATATACATATGTATATATGTAAGTACAAAAACTAAAAATTCGAAAAAGAAACAACATATTTTTAAAAAGTTCACTACGAAAAAACATACGAAAAGATTTTTCTCTGGTATTTAAAACAGAAATAAATGAAATAAAATTCAAATGCTGAAGATAAATGGGATAGAAAGTGTGAAAAATGCTTAAGATAACATTCAACTGCAAGTGTAGAGGAAGAAAAATGTGCGTGTATTATTACAAACATTAACATATTAAATTCTACTACATCATTTTCACTAATAGAATCCAGAATATCTTTTTAACATTTTTTAAAGTTTTCTTATTGCAGAAGCTTATTATTCTCAGGAATTTAAAAATTACAATGAATGAAAATTAATGTGAATGAAAACATCTGTTTCATTTACTGCTTCATATCGAAAAGCATTTAGATTTAATTTTTTTTTTTGGTTTGCGGTCGTATATAAAAATCGTCTTAGATACACTTTTCCCGTTTATTTTAGGAATGAAAAATGCTTTTTTGTATGGTTGACTTTTTAGTTGTTTATAATGGGAAAACATTGTACCATCGACAAACATATTAAAAATCTATTATTTCTTAAATTTTCAATATTGTTTTTTCTTCTAATATTTTTGTTTATTTTTACTTTTTTGTTTATAATTTTTTTCTATTGGTTATTGATGGCTACTTTGTTGTGCGTTTGACGTCAAAGTATCATCAAACCATCGCAACACAACCTTAAATACATACATATTTTTTCATTATTTATAATACAAAAAAAAAAACGTATAAGTGGATTATTTGGAAATATTTAATACAGAGCAAAAATATAAAACAAATCAGTTTTTAAAAGTTAAATAAAAAATTAATTAAACGGATATAAAAATAGAAAAAAACATTTACTACGACGAGTTTATTTTGGTTTATTATTTATTGTTCCAAACAAAATTTTCTTAATCAATTCACACCTACAAGCGATTATCTACACGTGATTTCACCTTAGACTAATTAAAATAGATTATATAAATTCCACTTAATTTAAATACCCTTTAGCAGGTCTTTCTTATTTAGAGACGACATTCCCTCTTAAATTCTTTGAAAGTTATTTATTTGTATAATAAATTCTGTGAAAATTGGGTTAATTTCGTATTTGTTTCAAATACTTTTAGTTTGTCACACCCATTAGAAATCAGCTGGGGAACATTTAATTGGCGTTCAAGATTGATCATATTGGCCCAATTCCAAAATTTAAATGATTTTTTCTTTCACATGACAAATTGTTTCAAAAGTTCGATAAATTTAAGTGATGAATTAAATTTTTCATTTTCTTAGGCATCACTAATGATAAGGTTCAATGGTCTTTTATCTAATAAAATAAAAGTTTCTATTAAGAAAGTTATTATCTTTAATTGTAAAATTATTTTATGATTAAAAGTTTTTTTTCTTAAATGACACAAAAATTAAAGAAAAACCGTTTAAGGAAACTTTACTAAAAGGAACTAAACTAAAACTGAAATAGAACTGATTACAACTGAACTAAAAGAAACTGAACTAGAACTGAACGAGAACTGAACTAGAACTGAACTAGAACTGAACTAGGAACTGAACTAGAACTGACTAGAACTGAACTAGACTGAACTAAACTGACTATAACTGACTAAACTGAACTAGAACTGAACTAGAACTGAACTAGAACTGAACTAGAACTGAACTAGAACTGAACGAGAAATGAACTAGAAACTGAACTAGAACTGAACTAGAACTGAACTAGAACTGAACTAGAAAATGACTAGAATCTGACTAGAACTGAACTAGACTGAACTAGAACTGAACTAGAACTGAACTAGAACTAAACTAGAACTGAACTAGAACTGAACTAGAACTGAACTAGAACTGAACTAGAACTGAACTAGAACTGAACTAGAACTGAACTAGAACTGAACTAGAACTGAACTAGAACTGAACTAGAACTGAACTAGAACTGAAACTAGAACTGAACTAGAACTGAACTAGAACTGAACTAGAACTGAACTAGAACCTGAAACTAGAACTGAACTAGAAGCTGAACTAGAACTGAACTAGAACTGAACTAGAACTGAACTAGAACTGAACTAGAACTGAACTAGAACTGAACTAGAACTGAACTAGAACTGAACTAGAACTGAACTAGAACTGAACTAGAACTGAACTAGAACTGAACTAGAACTGAACTAGAACTGAACTAGAACTGAACTAGAACTGAACATAGAACTGAACTAGAACTGAACTAGAACTGAACTAGAACTGAACTAGAACTGAACTAGAACTGAACTAGAACTGAACTAGAACTGAACTAGAACTGAACTAGAACTGAACTAGAACTGAACTAGAACTGAACTAGAACTGAACTAGAACTGAACTAGAACTGAACTAGAACTGAACTAGAACTGAACTAGAACTGAACTAGAACTGAACTAGAACTGAACTAGAACTGAACTAGAACTGAACTAGAACTGAACTAGAACTGAACTAGAACTGAACTAGAACTGAACTAGAACTGAACTAGAACTGAACTAGAACTGAACTAGAACTGAACTAGAACTGAACTAGAACTGAACTAGAACTGAACTAGAACTGAACTAGAACTGAACTAGAACTGAACTAGAACTGAACTAGAACTGAACTAGAACTGAACTAGAACTGAACTAGAACTGAACTAGAACTGAACTAGAACTGAACTAGAACTGAACTAGAACTGAACTAGAACTGAACTAGAACTGAACTAGAACTGAACTAGAACTGAACTAGAACTGAACTAGAACTGAACTAGAACTGAACTAGAACTGAACTAGAACTGAACTAGAACTGAACTAGAACTGAACTAGAACTGAACTAGAACTGAACTAGAACTGAACTAGAACTGAACTAGAACTGAACTAGAACTGAACTAGAACTGAACTAACTAGAACTGAACTAGAACTGAACTAGAACTGAACTAGAACTGAACTAGAACTGAACTAGAACTGAACTAGAACTGAACTAGAACTGAACTAGAACTGAACTAGAACTGAACTAGAACTGAACTAGAACTGAACTAGAACTGAACTAGAACTGAACTAGAACTGAACTAGAACTGAACTAGAACTGAACTAGAACTGAACTAGAACTGAACTAGAACTGAACTAGAATTGAACTAGAACTGAACTAGAATTGAACTAAAACTGAACTAGAATTAGGCTAGCTAAAATAATGGACCGATTTTAACGTTTTTAAATAGGTCCTTGGGACAAGAGAAAAATAAGTGCTAAATTTTATCAAATTATTTTGAAGGAAATGATGAAACAGTCATAGCTTAGCCGACTCAGAAAATTATTCTGAACCGATTGTAGTGTAGGGTATACAAATAATAAACAGTTGTTCGAAAATAATGTATTTCATGAATTATTTGTTTCAGTTTTTTTTTTAGATAAAAGCCAAGAGATATAAAATTTCATTACCACATTTATACATAGTACTTAGATGTTAGTGCAAATTTAAAATTTTCCTGAACTTTTCATTCTACGTAGAATACAATACACATATTTATAAGTATATAATAACTAGAATAGTCTATGAATATAGTTAAGTCAAGTTAACTTAGTTGTTGTAGTGTTTTTCATTTTGAGGTTTCTTGTTTGTAACTTTCAGTAACCACAAATCCAATGAATACATTTCATGCACCTTGTAACATTCAACACTTTGTAATCGTAACATTTTATTTATTTTTTGTTAGTTTATTTTTCTATTCTATTTTCGAAGGAATTCTTTTTAACTTTTTAGCAAAAAATTCTTTTAATGGAATTTATTCTTTTGAATTTATGTTGGTTCAGTTGAATGCATTAGCGGTGAGGTGCAAGAGAATATTGGAAAATTGTAGCGTTGATAGTTAGTTGACAGTTATTTTTAGTTTTAATGTTTGTTTACGAATGTGGAAAACTTTCAAGAATTTATTTATGAAAAATGGTTTTTGGAAAATATAATCTTATTGATTAGCACAGAAAAGTTTAATAGAAATATTTGTTTTTAAAAACTAAAGAATTTTATTTAAAATAAATACAACTATTATGTAAAATATTTAGGTACACACTCGTATGTATGATGTATTAATATTTCCATAATTTAAAATTGCGTAGAAACATTTTAATTTAATATCAGTTTTATTCAAGTACAAGCAAAACAACTAATTAATTTAGAATTTTTATGGAAAGTCTTCAAATGTCTGCTGATGACATTTTCCATTAAAGTTTTGCTATATACTTTAATATAAAAAAGATAAAGTAAAACTTTCCTGTCATGTTCTTTTACATGACTAACAGAAACCTAAAGTTTAAATAAAAAAATATATGAACTACAACCTTAAAACATTTTAACAAATGTTTCCTTTGCGTCTATTTAACCATCAATTTAAATTAAATAAAAAATGAAAAATCTCATCACATCAAATATTTAAATAAAAAAAGAAAATAATTGTACATACCTGCCAGTAGCACACTATTGTTATTTTTATTGTCATGATCAACTGGTATGGATGAGACACGTTCGGCACGTAGACAAGCAACAGTTGTACCAGGACGACCATTTTTACCGGATGCTGTCAATTCTACTGTCATATCCATTGATTTCTGTAATACCGCATCCATGCGTATAAAGCCTTCAGCTAAAGTTTTATAACCCAATATGGTGCGTGATTTGTATTTTTTGCGTCTTTGCAACAAGATGACCAGTCTGTGGGGATAATGATGTTGATGAAAGGAGAAGAAAGGCAAATTGTAACCATAACGTGTACTATGAGTTTAGTTATATTTTTAATTTTTTTGTATTTTTTTTATTTAAAATTTTTGTTTTCATAGTTGTTGGCACATATTGATTTTAAGAAAATATACCCAGATATTAAGTAGTCGAATTTTCGTTGATTTATTTGATTGGAGAAATTTCCAAAAAAGAAATAAATTTATATAAAATAAGGAAGATAGTACCTATAATTTGAAAAAATATTCGAAAAAAATATCAGGACATGTCATTTGAAATGATTGATGTCATGTTAACTGAGAAGAAATTGAATAAGAAAAAAGGTAAAAATTGAAGAGAAACTGAACGAAAATAAAGGGAAATTAACTACAATTGAATTAGAAATAAACTAGAATCTAACTAATACGTAACTACAAATGTACCGGAGATGGAACTAAACAAGAACTGAACTAGAACTGAACTAGAACTGAACTAGAACTGAACTAGAACTGAACTAGAACTGAACTAGAACTGAACTAGAACTGAACTAGAACTGAACTAGAACTGAACTAGAACTGAACTAGAACTGAACTAGAACTGAACTAGAACTGAACTAGAACTGAACTAGAACTGAACTAGAACTGAACTAGAACTGAACTAGAACTGAACTAGAACTGAACTAGAACTGAACTAGAACTGAACTAGAACTGAACTAGAACTGAACTAGAACTGAACTAGAACTGAACTAGAACTGAACTAGAACTGAACTAGAACTGAACTAGAACTGAACTAGAACTGAACTAGAACTGAACTAGAACTGAACTAGAACTGAACTAGAACTGAACTAGAACTGAACTAGAACTGAACTAGAACTGAACTAGAACTGAACTAGAACTGAACTAGAACTGAACTAGAACTGAACTAGAACTGAACTAGAACTGAACTAGAACTGAACTAGAACTGAACTAGAACTGAACTAGAACTGAACTAGAACTGAACTAGAACTGAACTAGACTAGAACTGAACTAGAACTGAACTAGAACTGAACTAGAACTGAACTAGAACTGAACTAGAACTGAACTAGAACTGAACTAGAACTGAACTAGAACTGAACTAGAACTGAACTAGAACTGAACTAGAACTGAACTAGAACTGAACTAGAACTAGAACTGAACTAGAACTGAACTAGAACTGAACTAGAACTGAACTAGAACTGAACTAGAACTGAACTAGAACTGAACTAGAACTGAACTAGAACTGAACTAGAACTGAACTAGAACTGAACTAGAACTGAACTAGAACTGAACTAGAACTGAACTAGAACTGGACTAGAACTGAACTAGAACTGAACTAAACTAGAACTGAATCAAAAAATCACTGAAATCGTTTTGTGCGAAAGAGAGGGAAATAGTTTTTTGCTCGTAACGCCTCTGTATACCCTGTGACTGAACTAGAACTGAACAAGAACTGAACTGGAACCGAACTAGAACTAAACTAGAAATTAACTAGTACTGAAATAAAACTCTACCCAACTTATCTCATTTCTTTATATGTATTGAAACCGTTATATTTTCGACATATGTATGTGTGTATGTATGTATGTATACCTACTTTAACCTTAAATGGTAAACGAATGAATAACTAGGAATATAACCTGAAACAAGTATGAAAGTATAGTCGGGCTTGGCACCAATTATGAATATTAAATGTGATTTATTTTTCATAATAAAGCATTTATCTTGAATATTACCTTGATTCCGATTTATTATTTATATGGGGATAGGAGCAAATGTGGACCGATCCCGATAAAATGGGCTGGATAGATTTGTATTTATAATATATATATATATATAATATTTGTTTGTGCTAAATTTCATTGCAATAACAGTGCTAATAAATGAATTGCGTATATTCAAGTCACTTTCTGAAGGGGGCTTTGTGTGGGGGTAGGGTCAAATGAAGTTCGATCATTTTGAAATTCGGCAAGGTCATCAAGGCTTGTATAAAAGTTAGTTGTGTGAACTTTCATCGAGATACATTTACAAATTTCATCAAATTATCTTGAAAATTGCGACCTGTACTTTGATAACAACGTTTACATGGACACACGGTCGGACGGACGGACGGACATCGTTAAATAGACTCAGAAAGTGATTCTGAGTCGATCGGTATACTTTATAGTATATTACTATAAAGTTATATATAAGTTATAATTACTAATTTTTTTGTTTCATTGGCTGAAACATAATCAAATTACCAATTAGCCTTGTAAATGGAAAAATGAAGATGGAACGTGTTTAAAATAAGGTGACTATTTTCCAAATGATAAATAACATTGATTGTATAAACTAATGACGAACGAACTGACGTGCATAATTACATTTGGAGCATTTTACATTAAGACAATCTCTGGTGACAAGACAACAACACCAGCCAATATACGATTAGAAAACAAATGCCAATTAACTCTTACGTTTTTTTGTAATGCGTTTATTTGCATAACGAGGGTTGTAGTAAAAGTGTGCAAAAAACTACTTGTGATATAGTTTTACCTAATCGAACTGACTAGGACAGAATCGTTTGTATTGTTTTGAGTTTTTCATTACCTCCACCCTCGTATCAATGGCAATTTCCTATGCAAATTAATGAACAACAACTATGAGTATGAACCAGATACGATTATGACCTGAACATGTTGCAAGGAAAATGCATCATACACAATGATGATGACATTAACATGTTGTTAATTAAACAGGTATTACTTGCGTTAAATAAACCAATAAATTAGTATTTATACATACCTATTACCATCACGTTTAATAAAATGCGGATACTGTAAACTAAAATTTAAATCCAACTCCGTTTCAGCCAATGGCACGCCACCACCTGACATCATCATACCCGTAGTACCAATACCAGAATTACCAATATTACCGGGTGTACCCAACATTGATTGGGTTAACTGGGCATTAACACCACCACCGCTGCCAATTACTCCACAACTCGATTGTGCACTGGAATTCATCATTCTATCATTAACATTTGGGGAATTGCCTTGTTGCATGATGGTTAAACCACTGCCGACGCCTAAATTGCCGGTAGCGCTACCAACACCACCACTACCAGTCGTTCCACTAAGTGATGTTGTTGTATTTGATGTCGTGCCTAATTGCAATAGACTGGCGCCATTTATTGGTATTTCATGTGAACGTAATGTACGTTTGGAACTTTGCATTTTAACCGCCAGCGATAATGATGTTAAGTCACCGGGTAATGGTGTTAATATTGTAAGACGTGTTATGGTTAGGGAGCATAATCTAAAATGATAAGAGAGAAATAATTGTGGTATAAATTAGCAAATGTTAGTTGAAAATATTTTAAAGTACGATTGAATTTGGGTTTCAGTATATTTTGATTGGTAAAGTATTGATATTTATTGGAAAAATCTGTTAAAATCGATCCATTATTTCACTCATAACATGGTCCTTACTACTTTGCTTCTTGTTTTAAATAATATCCATTAATAGCGAAAGATAAATCGGTTTATATCCCAACTTATATAAACTAATCTAAGTTTTTGATTCCGATCTAAATTGTAGAGATTTTTTTCTAACAAAACTACATACAAAGCGATAATTCTGGTCCAATCAATTCTTTCATAATTTCAAGATTTCAAATGCATTATAATACTTTATGACGCCATTAAATTCTTATAATTTTGTACACATTTCTTCTATTGTTGAAAATTAATTTCTTCCAGCATTGTGATTCAAGAAATAATACAATGAGGGTATAAGAATCTCATAAAATTCAACTTACTATAGGAGCCCTATAAAATGCTAAATGTCTGCTTGATTTCTTATACAAAAAAACACACGAAACACTTGACATTCCAATTATGACACAATAAAATATGAAAAAAAAACGGAATTATTCATTGTAATTGGGCGTATATTAAGTTTTCTTGTTGTTGCTGTAATATAATGATGTGTTTAGGAGCAAGTAGACATTTAAATTTCTTAAACCATGACAACAGCGTCAATGGCGGCAGTAATAGAGAAGAGAGGGAGTAACACCGTCACCAACTACATCTCATTGAATTTGTATACAAATTTTTTTATGGTATTATTTCAATACTAATATTAATATAATTTACAATTCACTTGCAGAACAATACATCGTGTGATAACAATTAATTGTAAGTAATATGAACAATTGAGCAAAATAACAAATTGGAATATTAATTGTTTTTTTTTTTTTTGGTTGTAAATATATAGTTTATGAGATCATTTAGATGTGTAATATCATAATAAAATTACAATTACAAGATAAAAAATTTCTATATAAGTTGTTGAACTTGATCGTAAGCATATCGAGCCCTTTTTGCAAATTGGACGTAAGCGACTAGATTTTCGATTTTCGTTTTTTTATAGAAATCGATAATTTAGGTCTATTAGCATCATCTCAGAAAATTTCGTAGCTATAGATCCAATGGTTTCAACTTTACAAGAAAAAGAAAAAAGACGTAAGTACACATTAATTTTCTGCTTATGAATTTTTTAATGAATCAATAGTCCCAGAATTTAATTATTTATTCGATATAAGGCGAATTGTACTACCATGTATGGATATTAATGTGGACATCAGGGTGATTTTTTTGATTTGTATATGGACTCATAATGAATCAATAGTTCCAGAATTTACTTATTTATTCGATATAAGGCGAATTGTACTACCATGTATGGATATTAATGTGGACATCAGGGTGATTTTCAGAATACGGCCTTTAATGAGGGATTTGGCCAATTGTGGACCGAGGTCTATAGAATTTAAACGCGTGATTAGTTTTGAAAACAAATTTTTTTGTAGAATTTCATCATACTTTCTTAATTTTTGAAAGATTTATTAACTGTAAACTTATTTTCTGTATGAGGGGCATAGGAAACCATCCTAAAACATCATCATACATCAAATTTCGTTGCTATACTGATATTTTTAAGACTGCTATGGTCATAAAATCAATGTCTTAAAGGGTTAAATATTGCCTGACATTTTTCATACTTCCCAACATAATTTACAGGTATAAATAACCGACTTCTGCAATATTGTATAACGATTGCTACATAAACAACATATTTATTAAAGTTTTAACTATAATCCGGGAGGCACTTGTATGGGGGCTAAGTGAAATCAAGAACCGATTTTGCCCATTATTAACACAAAACAATATTTGTCATTAATAAGGATTTTTGGAGAATTTCATCACTCTAGCTCATAACGCTCGGAACCTATCCGGTTTTCAAACAAAAAGACTGACATACAGACATCCCTAGATGATCTTAAAATCTTATAAAAAATATTTATTACACTCTTAAATTTCAGATTTATACAAATTATATAAAGATATACACAAAAAATTATTTTTTTAGACAGAGACCCTACGACCCCTACAGAGACGTAACCGCCTCAACTTTGTTTATATCATAAAAATTTGTCTCGGCAAAAAAGACGTAAGCGACCAAAAAATCGGATATAGCGTAAATATAAAATCGAAACAAATTGCATCTTATAGTTTAGATATAATAATATATATTAACGGAGTTTTGCAGTAATGCTATATCCTACTACGAAGATAATTAAAAAAAATGCTCTCCTGTAAAATTTAGTTTTTGTCGTTTACGTCCTTTGTGCAAAAAGGGCTCGATATATAAGTTGTTGAACTTGATTGTAAGCATATGTATATTTAAATGCTTAACTGAGAGATGCTGCAGGTTGAGATATTATTTAATTTTAAATCACAGGGACTTCTTCATTTCACCGAAACCTTTTATATACATTATCAATGACTCTCACCAGACCAACAAAACTGTCAAGGTCGTTAATAGCGAAGTTTTTTTAACGATCTTAACTATCGTTACCTAAGTTCAGAACCCATTGAGATCCAAATATTTAATTTTAACTTTGTAATGGCTTCTGTAGAATCATATTCTGAGCTGATCATTCAATTTTGAAATATTTTTGTGAAAATTTAATTCATACTGACAACTTTTAAAACCGGTTCATATATATATATATATTTATTAAGGAATTGGTCCATAATTGGCCTTAGTTTCGATTTTAGGACCACCTTTGTAAAATCACTTTTAAGCTGATGCCCAGCTAGATCTTCTCTAGCAATCTAAAGATGCTAAACAAAAAATTACTATTCTTTTTATTTTCCCATTAAAAATGATAATTAATATTCTGTAAGAAAAAATACTTAATAGCTAATTTATTATCTATAATATTTATGGAATAATTAAAGTATTCAAAAAAAAAAAAAAAAAAAAATGCGCGAACATAAATGTTCTAATTTAAAATTCCATTATTATCTATTACAAACAGGTTTGAGAATTTAATCCAATATGGTGTGAGTTTTTTTTTTTTTCATTTTGTTGCGTATAAATTGCAAATTCAATTTTATATCCTGTCTGGTGGTTATCTTCTCACAATAGTTTCTATATTTCATCTCTTTCTATCTCCTGTTTCTTGTCAAGTTGCCACAATAACTCCGGGTGTGTCATCCGGTGTTGCTTTCATTGCTCATAAATTTAATCAAACACTTCAATGGAATAGTTTTACTTATTTTGTGTTTGTATTTCTTTATGTTTGTTTTGCCTCTTGTGCGAATAGTTTATTTGTACATTTCTGCCAGTATGATGGTCTGTCATCTATCTGGTTGTATGTCGTTCCTAGTTGGTTTTCATAAACATTTTCTTAAGGTTGTTGCTCTATCTTGTGTTTTTTTTTTTTTTTTCTTCTTCTACTGCTCTCACCGGAAATCTTAATAACATTGAAGATATTTCTCTAGTTTTATGTTTTTCTGAGCAACATTTCTTATGCGATGATAACCAACTGAGATTAGTTCAATTACGTTTGGTAAAAAGTTATATAAGATTATAATAGTTTTTATGCAAGTATGTTTCTTATTTGGATGATAGATATTTTGGAGATATTGTGTGAATTTAAATATTTAATATTAACAAATTTTTGTAATTTAATTTAATGAAACATATTATTGATATTAGGCAATTACTTTTTACGGTAGATTTTCTCTCTTATCTAATTTAGGTAATCCTTTTTTAAGGTACATTTTCTATCTAACAGCTTATAGAGATCGAAACACAAAAGCCGAGGACTTGTTCTTACTCACAGAGAACACACTAGGGTTAATCTGGTATGAACAGAGTAAACCCTGAACATTCCTGGACAAGGAAGGAAAATTCAATGATATCACTTGTATAAGATACCTTTTATAGAGAACAACATCCGACACACTCACTCTAGGTATACCGGCGGGTAAGGTCCGTATACCCCTACATTCATCCTGTATCATATACACTTAACACCAACGCATTTCCCACGCTTAGTCCCACAGTCACTCCTCTGTGGAATATCTGTTGTCTCGGCATCTGTCTTTTAGCCGACATTCTCTTCCCGCGAATTTTGTTTAAAACCACAACCACCGCGTGCACCCCAAAGGGACCTCTCCAATAACAAGGACAAGACAAAATCCGAAACTTTGCCCTACGTTCTACTGGTTCCCGTGATTATGTGATTCTCTGGTTCGACCACATGCCAAATTATTCCAAGGAAAGGCCGAGTATACATTTGATCATCACGATTTTATAGACCCAACAGACTAGAGGTACTGGTAGCACCTCTTTTCCCCGCGATTGCAATAACACCAAGATGAGGGTCTTTCATCAAGGCAACATGGCCCCATGAGTATAATTCTCTGAAAATACATTATTTAAAATGAGCAAGTGATACATTTTTATTACTGTTTTATTCCCTAATCTATTATCCGTAAATCCCCTTGAGATCTCCAAAAAATTTTACAATTAGTTTAAGAATTGTGAAAAAAAATCTTCAGAGCCCTTGCGGCATCTGTTAACGTTATGTACGTTAAAATAATTTTCTAAAGGGGACCTTATATGGGGGCTAGGGTCAAATGTAGACCGATTGTTGATTGAATAACCAACAAACTCATTAATAGATATTATTTGTGAAAAATTTTCTAAAATCTAACTTGCTTCGACCCAAACAAAAGGATATGTCTAAGTTGCAACCTCTACATTGGCCAAAGAAAAACGGACAAGGGAGTATCTGTATATGTAGGAATCCAAACAGCGGTGCAGAGTATTTAAAAATCGTCATGGACACTTAAACAATAACACACATAACGCATTACAACTAAATAATTAATTTTCAAGTTAATTATTTCTATAAATCATAAAATTATATGACTTTTTAGAGTTTTTGTAAATACATACAT